ATATGGAAGGAAATCACTAGATTTGTCATTTCTCCCAAATATGCAATGCTTACTTCAGCTGTATTTACAGACTTAAAATTCATATGTTTTGAAACAAGAGAGGCGAAATTAACAAACAGTTTTAACTGGAGGGAGAGACCATAAAAGGGTAAGCACTCTTGACTGGGAAAGTATCTGATTGTAACAGAGAAGAAAATAAATGAAAGAGTAAGATTTTTGTCCAGAAAAAAAAAAAAAGATAAAATCTATTGCAAGTTTTCTCCCAGCCATTCTAAAAGGATAAGAGATTATCTGAAATATTAAGCTAGGTTCTATGTGTGAACCAGACAGACTTACATACACATACCTTTTATCCTTTGCAACAGTGTCCCATAGCCCATATCATACTGATATGCAAATATAAAGCTTAAGGGAACTATTGGCAGTAAAACTCCTGGGTTCTTCTTTTTTATTGCTCTGTTTAAAAAAAAAAAAAAAAAGAAGGAAAAAAATATTATTTAGGACATTCAGCACATCAGCACTGTTAGTTTAGGTTGACCTTGACTGTCTAGGACTTGTGTATTCTTCTACACTCTCTAATCAAAGAACAAGTTGTCTAAATTTCCTCAGAAGTATTTGTCTTCTGGTGGCCTTCTTGCTCAACTGTTAACCCAAGGGTATTAAAAAAAAATGCTTCAAGGGAGTTTTGAATATATCTAACAAAAATGGGATCATCTAACTCGTGTAGCACGCATGTGCATATGCATATATAACCACCCAGCCACATGCAAACATGTAGCAATCAAGATATTATGTTCAGTTCCAAATGCATCTGAGTCCATAGAGAACACATAATGCATAAGACACATTTAACCTGTACTATGTACACAAAACCACAGGTATTTTCTACATTCTCTCTAATCATGTTATAGCACAAGAAAAACGTGTTACCAAACAGAAGTCCTATAAGGCAAGTTCTTCCCTGTGCAATACAGCTTTATTATCCAGGGCTTCTTCCTCTTGGGTTAGTTTCTTCACACAAATTTTAAGTCAACGGATTTCAGAACATGTCCACTTGTTTACCAACATATTAAAAAACCCAGACAGGGAGGATTTGTTGCTCATTAATAGTTCATTAAATCACAATACAGACAAGAAAATAGCATGGCTTTTAAACAATCCCTCCTTTCCACACACAACTTTTATTTTACACTGAACTTTTGATACCTCAGCTGTATCATTTTATTGTCAGCTGACATATCTCTGCCTTTAAGTCTGCAGTACAGACAGAACCAAAACACATCTGGAAGCAGACAGAAATCAGAGTCACTTTGCCATCTGATCAACCTCTGAGCAGTTACTGGATAAAAATAACTTCCAGTTATAATGCAAAAGGAAGATCCTGCATCACAGAAGTATAAATGTAATATATTTTCTGTTAGGAAATAAACTTCATACCCAGCTGTTAAACCTACAGCAGCAAGTCCAAAAAATGTCCCAAAATATTTGAGAAATTCCCGTGTCCAAGCTATCTGCATGGCTGTTTGTCTCTCTCTCATCTGGTTCTGCATCAGTAGTTGCCTTTCCAGCTAAAGAAGGGAGAGAGATTAAAAAAAAAATAAGTAATCCGTTTATTTTAAAGACTGATTTTTACTACTTTTAAGTTACATGCCCCACTAAACATACTGGTACATTTCCATTAAATAAAGGTAAATTCAGTATTTCTTAAAAGTTCCTCTCTGCTGTATAGAACACCAAAAAGAACAATGGTCTTTCCTCCTTGGAGTGATGCAAAGAGTAAGAACTGTGCCAAAAAAAGCAGTCTGAAACCAGAGTACAGAAGTTAGTTAACACAGTAAGAAGTCTGCTTCTTCCCATTGATGCTTATAACACTTTGTTTTTAAAAAAAAAAAAAAAACAGAGCACCTGAGTCTAGCCTAGCTAAATGAGCTGCATAAAAAGTCCAACAAGGTACAGGAAACAGAACACCAGCTCCCTAAAAAAGTGTATTCTAGAAATGAAATAACAAAGAGAGAATTCAGAAAGTTCTTTTCTCATGCATCTATAAAAGTAATTAAATCTGTTCTTTTCTCCTGCTTTCTAATTCAAGAATAATTTAAAGGATTTGTAATTACTTAAGGTTTCCACCCATTTATTCATCTCCATTACTATTGATTTAGCCTGAACAGAACAATTTCTGTTAAATTGTTACTAATTATTTCTTCAGACTATGTTGATCTTGCTATCTTATTTCCAAGCTCATTCAGTACCTAGATAGGTAGAATTAATTTTTTAGACAGCATCATAAAAAAAGGACAAATCTAATTACATATAATTGTACACAGTAGGAAAAATAACATTCACTGTAGTCTCACAATACTACTTCATCTGTTTCTTTTTCCTCAAGACTTACATTGCAATTGTTGTTCTCACAAAAAATATCAACATGCTCTACCTTCCTGATATCCATAATTTTCAGATCACTTTTTTTCAGAAGTAATTATATAATGGCTGACAAACCACTTAATAATATATCAAAATAATTAGATTTTATTTTGTCACCTATGAGACACTTGGAAATTCTAAAGTAAACAAGCACACTGCCTGTTAATTAGTTACATTGTGGTCCCCAATATCCTAAGCCTGGTAAATTGCTGAGGGTTGACGTGACAAGATAAAATAATGACATGTAATATCAATTTAATGACCTCTATTTTCCCCTTCAATTTGATTATGTGTGTAGTTTGCACACGTGTGAAAAGTATTAAGGGATCCTTTGTTTGCCTGTCAGCACAGATAAGGAGCCTACGCTTCCAAGATGTACGGTATTACCCTAAATTAGCTTCAATTTGAAGAAGTACATGGGGAAGAAGTGGGACAAGGATATGCTGATGAAATCTAGGTCTTGCTAAAAGGAAACTTAATGGAGAAGAAGAAAAACAGTTTAATATGCAGAGCCTAGAGAGAAATAAGCATGGAATAAAAAGAAAACTGTAAGTCTAAATCTACAAGAGTAAACTAAAGGATCCTAGCATTACTTCTTTAAAAAAAAACAACAAAAAAAAACCCCAACAAAAATGCCTCTCACCCAAGTTATACTTTGACAGCTCTGTAAAACCCAAGTACTGAAAGTTAATTACTAAGTCACAGACACTAAGGTCAAACAAACACCCTTCTGTAGGAGCCTGTCATACCAAATTTCAGAAGCCCAAGGATACTTTAATGTATATCTACAAGTAATTTATACAAATAACTTAGTATAAATGAGAACAACTTGTGTTGTATATTATAAACAGCAGCCAGATAACACAATCAAACAGTTTTTCATATTTTTTCTAACCAGAAGGACTTTTTTTTTTCTTCACTTAAAGAACAACCCTCAACTTTCTACACAGTACCCCATCCAAAAATACGGCGGGGGGGGGGACACACGACACCACATCAAAAAATGATCATATTCCTTTGCTTTGAGCAAACTTCTTCAACGTGGATGTAAAATCTTACCTAGATGAAATACAAGGCTGTATTTAAATTAATTTATGAAAAAAAAGATGCGTTGGAGGGAAGCTTTAGACTGACGAATCTTAGAGATAAGCATTTTATGTTTACATGGGGAAATGTAGCATAGCCAAGAAGAAAAGGTTTCAGAGGAATCTCGATGCACAGAAAGCAGTAAGAAGTAGATCTAGTGATGTTTAGCTAAATTAGTAATTTAATTCTTGCTATTACTGAAGTTGCATGATGTAAACTTCATTATAACAACACAAGATCTATTTTGTCTATAAACTTACAATATAGCACCAAGAAAACACAGATGTTTTTAGGGATGCTAAGTAATCTACAGTACTGCTGCAGAGGTTTGCTTTTAAATCAATTTTTACTCAGTCCTAAGTTATACCAAGAAAATCTAATAACAACACACAAACATCACTAAATGTGCTCCAAAATCTCTCTGAACCTATGCAATCTTATGCCAAATGCAGGAATACCTCTCCTAAATGCCAGAAATGCCCTTTGTTCTGTCCTTCTCTATTCTGGGGGGGGGAGGAGGAAATCTTCATTCTTGCTTTCCATTTCCAAAATCAGTTTTGTCACTTGGCATAGTTTCATCTTGCCAAAACAAAAGACTATAGTGCTGTAGCTGTAGGACTGCAATGGGAATCTGCATAACAAAGAGATTTAGTCAAAGTGTTCCAGGGCAATTCCACACTGACTTCACTGGATTTCAAGTTTTCCTTAAGGAAAAGGAAAGAGAAAAGTGAGCAACAGTTATGGCCAAAGTTGTCCCAGAACATACTGCTTCATTGCACAACTTACACTTCCTGGAAATAATTGTAGAAAAAAAACAGTTCAGAGTATGCCTGAGCTCTTTTCAGAGAGCACTGTAGCCACTGCACTGCTGAATGATGTTGGCCAATGCTGCCATCAGATTCCACGGGTGGGCTCCAGCAACGTGTGTTCGACACAGCAGGGAACACTCCTCTGGCAGGCTCTGACAGAGCACCTACCTACCATGTGACATCAAAGATTGCTTTAACATGTCCAGACCTGACATCTGATCAGCTAAATAGGTTTATGAGCAATGTTTGACACTAAAAGAGTATATGCATTTAAAGGAATTTTGGATGCTCTAAATTGCAAAATTAAGCACCTATGAGGGCACTCAAGCAACTCTAATGTAGCTCAATCTTTTAAAATTTCAAAAAAATCAGGGGCAATATCCTTGTGCTTACCCATTTAACATACCAATCTGAACTGAACATCTTGAACTCTGATGGTTTTGAATGACCAGGATAGCCTGATAGGCTGACTTTATGCTGGCAAACAACTATTGGTAGGTCATGAGGTGAAATTATTACATTAAGATTATGTTAACCTTAAGCAAGTCAGGATCTGAAAGCAGACCTATGTAG